TAAACATCCTTACGATCCTTGTCCATCCTTATGAATTGGCGTTCGGTGCTTCACAGCGCTGTTGTCCAGTCATCTGAGGACAGCCCATTCTTTCAATGATGAGGAGTCAGGAGGATGAAAATCATTGTGTTGTTGCTGGCTTGCATGTTTTCTTCTCACCCACACCAGCCAACCCTCCTGTTTCCTATCTCTTGCCACAGCCCGTCCTCTTTCCTGCTCCTGCTGCATTCAGAGTAATTTTTACATTATTCTGAACTTCTTTGCTGGAGTACTGATGTCTCAGTATGAAGTTTGCACTATGAAACACACAGTTTGGGTACAGACGAGCTGTCAGCATACATGCATGCTAGACTTCTCATTAATTTCGATTTGATATTGACACGTGATTGGAAAGCAATATTCTTGATGTGAACAGCCACCTTCTGTGCTGCAGCCTCTTGCTGTGTCCTAACAGGGTGACAGTCCTATGTGACAGCTACAAACAGCCACCGCAGAACAGTGTGGGGCTGGAGCTGGCTGCAAAGGGTTAATGAAAGGGTTCATGTGGACCACTTCTTCGTGGCAGTTCTGTGTACCTGACTAGTGCTGGTACCACATGTAGCAGAGTATTATTTCATTTACTAAGGCAGGCTTTTGTTTTATTAAGTGTTTATTCTATGTACTGGCGATACTAAATTCTGGTTTGGTTTGGTTTTCTGTCAGATTCCATTCTCCAAATTCTTTCTCTCCAGTCGGGGAAGAGTCCAGGATAACCAGCATCCTGTCTGGTTAGACAAGGCAAGTGTTCTATAGGCTTTTTCTCTCTGCAATTTTCTTTACGATTATACTGTCCTGGTATAGATAACTTACAAATCCTTTCATGTCTGTGAATTTGAAACTGAAGGGCCTCTTCTTGGTATAAGGTATTTATTGTGTGCTTGCTTTTGCATTTTAATTATCCTACTTTGTGTTAGCAGTGGCAGTCTACTTCAAAGACGCTCCAAAAACATTTTAAGAGATATATATAACAAGGAAACAACTCGCATCTTGGCTTTTCAAGAAAAAACCCAAACCCCAAAACAAACAAGCAAAACCACACAGAACTTTTTGAGAAGTGATCAAAGTGAACAATAAATCTGAAATGCAGGTTGGCACAGTACTGCCACTTCCTGTCAGAAGACTGTAAGGGATATCATCTAATGAGACTTTATTGATGACCTTGATGGTGAGCAGTAAACTGATGTATTTATAGGCTCCTTTTTAGGGCTTTTTTCAGTCTTTCTAGTCTCAGTATTAAATGAGTGTGTTGAGTATTTTTTTTCATTTCTGCAAATAGTTAAAGTAATTCACCGATTCATGGTGAGAGACATGAAGAAACTGTTTCTGTATTTTTTTCCCCCCTTTCAGATTTCAGTGACTTGAAAAACAAACATCCCCTCAACAAAAGAAACTCCTACAAGAAAAACCAACCTCAGACCCTCCTGTATTTAACTGAGGGCAGCTTAATACCCAGTGACTACTAAAAGGAAAACAATGTCAGCAATATATCTGGGGAGGAAATAAATGGCCTATTACTTGAATTTCTGTTAGTCACTTGGAATGTTGCCTTCAGTTCCTAATTGCCTTAATTAAAACAAACAAAAATATTTGAGGGCAATTCAGTGATCAGCAGCACGAGGGCAATCTGTTTCAAGGCAGAATAAATTTAGGCTGTAGGAAGCAAGTATGAGAAATATGAAGAAGGTGGACTAACTACAAGGAAAAAATATATCATGGAAGAGAGTTATTCTAAAATGCCCATGTTTAAATTGAGACACTAAAGAATTTATCAGGGTTTAGAATATAGAATCCTTCGCAGTGGTTAATGACAACAAAGTTGCATACAGGGTGTTTAAAAATATTTCCAAGTTAAAAGGACAAAACAGTATTTGATCTCAGCACCCCCCACTTAATTTCATTTATTGTTATAGTACGCTTAGCATTTCGCAATAAAAACTATGTACTTGCATATCATATGAAGTATAATTTTACAGATGTATTTTAAAGAAACCTAAAGATAGGGGAAGGGGTGTGAAGGCAATTAAAGAAATCTTGATAAAATGTCCTGGCCCCTCATGGTACTACTATATGTTTTCCCAGGAGAGAGGAAAGGTGGTGTTAAATGGGATGAAAGAAGCAGGAAATAGCCAGTGTGTCTAGGGCTTGGAAAGGAATGGATTCTTCAGAGCAGAGTTCAGGTGAATCCTACAGTCATCTGTAACAACATGGACCAGAAAGGTGAAGCTTTAAAAACTCTCCAGGCTCTGCAAGCCAAGGGGCTGATTGTAGATCTTGCTTCTAGGGCAGAGACAGCATTTAAAACATTAGGATTATCTGAGAGTCAGAAACAGCTTTGTTCTGTTATTTATTTAGCAGACATTTGCAATATATATTTAGCCTCAGCCTACACTTAGGGGCAGCTAGAGTTTGGTAGGTGGTGTGCCACTGGTGAGCCAGCTTGTTTGAGAACTGCTGGCACTGGAGTCGCTGAAAGGTGGCTGGTGCCATGTAAGAACTGAGAGTTTTCAGGCAAGCTATGAGCTTATAGGAAGCATTCCTGAGCTACACACACTTTTATGCAGTTTTTTAGGTTTTTTTTAAATATTTTTTTAAAATTGGAATAGTGGTGAGGAGAACATCAGCTGAAAGGAGTGAGGAATGTTCTTAGATATAATAACATTATTCTAATTGGGAAACAATGGCTAAGAACCTTGCCTTAACATAAAACTCAGTAACAAAGTTTCATGCATTTTAAAATGTCCGGTTTGGCGTATTTTAACGCTATACTTGATGTGGAATGAAAGTTCCCTTCCATCCTTAATTACATTGTTTGTGTTTCCTGCTCCCAAAATGATTGTAAGACTATGAAAATGCATTTGTCCACCCAATCATGATGAAACTGGCACTGCACAAACACTGAAGGGTAGGAATTGCAGTGTTGCTTGAGGCTCCTGCCACTTCTGTTGAAGGTTTCAACACAGCAGTAGAAAAGCAAAGGTGAAGCAGTTTCCCATGGGGGTCTATATTGAACATGTGGTAGTGAACAAATACCAGTTTAAAGTAAATGGCCATGAATTGCTTGTAAAATATGGAAGCGGTAGATACAGTTGTGTTTGATTACAACATTATAAATACTGTTCTAACTTATGTATCTTTTAATTAGATTAGTGCCCTTGGATTCACCATTGGAGATAAAGTAGATGGTCCGTTCCAGCTGGAGATTGATTTTATTGGTCTGCTAAACGATAGAGCTCATACAGAAGAATTTGCCTATGAAATGTATGACAAGAATACACCAGTCTAAGTTGGGCTGGTGTCCTCTGGGACATTCCTGAGATGCTTGGTTCATTTTTATAAAACACTTCTTAACATATGGCTTGTAACAACTTGAAGATTCTATGTAAACATTGAAGAGATAAGCACGTGAAGTGTTGACTACTTATCTGGCCAGAGTGACACTGCTGGCATCTCTGGGCTGCCAAATAGAGAATTCTGGAAAGACTGCATGTACATGGACTGAAACATAGCTTGAAGAGAGCTGTGATGTGTTCTTACAAAATAGTAACTGTTAACTGGGTAAGTTTTGGCTTCTCTCCTGACCTCTGCAGAAATAAAACTATTTCATGAGCTTGTTGTAGTTATTTTTTGTGCAGCAGTGTTATTTTCTACATTGTATTGTTCATCGGTAGTTGTAGAACACTCATACCCGCTAGTTTTAAACTGATGAAGTATGACAAAAATTAATACCCTGAGGAACAGTGCTTTAGTGTGTCTCAGCTGCTGAAATGTACAATGTGCAGCACCAGAAGTGGAAAAGGCAGAAGTATTTCAACCTTTAGCTTTGGCTCTTCTGAATAACTAAGAAAAGAAAAAGCTGCCAGTGCCGAGATTGAAACAGTAGCTATGCAGTGGGCTTGACCTTTCATTTAGAGGTGTTGACCATCGTCCCAGTGTTACAGAGCGGAGGTTGTTGAACAGAAGTAATGTGTCAAGGGTGGGCAGAGGGTAAACCCCCAGCACTGTCTGCTCCCTGAAGAGGCCCAGCTCAGCTTGCTTAGCACCAAGGGCAAGTCAGAGCATTCTTTTCTGATGTGTGCAATTAGCTCAACTCAGCTGTGTTATAAGAAGTCACAGCCTCAGGTAGTGGCACAGAAGCTCAATACCTCAATCCTGTAATTTGAGAAACACCTTAAAGAACAAGTGGTGAATGGTTTCCTTTCAGCTGTCACAAACTTAGTCTAATCAAAGCCCTGACCTCCTCTGCAGTACCCTTATTTAAGTATGCTTTACAAACATTAAATGTACCTGTATTTCATATGGAAGAGGCCACAGTAAAGCAAGCTGAAGCAGTGTACCTTTTCCTCTTGCACAGAATTAAATAGCTTAAGAGGAAAAGAGGAGTGATGGTTACCGTTTCTAAAGATACCAGAACACATGTACATTCATAAAGTGGTAGGCAGACTGGTCAGTAAGGAAGACTCTTCACGAAAAGAGACAGTGAGTAGTAAATATGAGTGTGAACAAAACTAGTGCTACACAAAGGAGGTAGGTGCACATAAAACATTAGATCATACAACCGGTGATAAACTATTTACAAAGTATTTATTTTCTCCCATTAAGTTTAAAAAAATATTGCATATTCTTGACATTTCAGCATGTAGATAATGGGACACTAAATTCACTGAAACAACTATTTGCTCAAAATTCTACCTGAGATTATAACTACTAAATTAACTTATAATTTATAATATATATAATTTGGATAAAAAATCCAAACAACTTTTCTATGTATATTTAAAAAGTAACAATAACAACAGTTTTAAATAAGGTACCGTAACTTCTTAAAGCATCATAAAACTGAACAGCAGAAGAATTTTGTTAACTTACACTAACTAATAGCAACCTGAGCAATACACAGACAACACAAGTCTTTACATGGCAAGAACAGTATTTACAGTGATTTCTCGTATTTCTTATTCCTTTTAACCTATGGATATTCCTCTATGGTTTCCAGAAATCCGAGTTTTGTTTTTTTTCCTCTCGTCCTCATGTTTCTCACGCCTTTCATCCCTGGAGGGCAAGAAGAAACAAGACCATATCAAGTTATATTAAAGGTAGAGACACAAACAAGCAAAGGAGTATGAACCTATTTAACCAGTACGCTGCATTTGCCATGGGCAAACAGCTGTTTTGGTCTGAATCCAGACTTCCAGGAAAAAGACTTGTGCTTAGAAGTACAGGTCTAACATTCAAGGTAACAACACGTCAATAGTCACAGCTTCTTCCAAGGTTCAGATAAATCTCCAAATGCTAGAATCGCTAGCTTTCACAGAATAAAAGGCTATTTGGATTCAGAGCTGTCCTCTTTGTTGGCTTTTCTCATACTAGACACACTACTGGAGACAACAATTACATCAATATACGTATTCTTTACAGAACTGCATGTTTAAATCCTGAAAAGACAGATGAGCCGTCACATTACTTGAAATAACACTATTTATAAAAAGCTAATGGGCTACTAACCTTGTCTGGAGATGTGGCTGTTTGTAATCTTTCATATGTGAAGAGACCTTGCTGCCAGCAGACTTTTTTGGGACAGTATTTTCTTTAAGTTCTCCCCAAGGTTTCAGTCGTCCTACAGTTAAGGGGCAAAAAGAGTGACAATTAATAGTTTAGTAATCATGTGCTTAACATATCTGGAGTTTTATACTAGCAAGCCTCTTTTCTTCGCTAGTTGACTTTAAGATGAAACACCTCTCAGCTGTTACCAGTTTCACCAGTCCATTGCCTACAGGTAGTTTTTCTGTAAGTAGCAACAGGTGACTACTTACGACCACACATAGTTCAGCTTGTCACACAATAGTGCACTTAAAAAAATAAAATAGACACAAGCCTCATTTGGTAAAGGAATCTCTCATATTTCATGTACATTTATCTATTCAGTGGAATACGAGGATATTTATTTTTATACTCATGACGATTCTGGTCAAACACTGATTCTTCAGTAGGGAGGTTCTTAAAGCATATATTAAGTAGAAATATAACATCAGTCCACAGACTGTGTGGGAATCCAGAGAGGAAGGGAAAGGAACAGGAAAAGAGGCTGAAAACTTTGCTGTATCATGGTTTGCATCAATGACTTTATGAGCAGTTGAGTATGACCAATATAGACTGCACAGGATCACGGTACCTTTATGTGGCTGATACCGAAGTGGCCTCGACAGGCTTTCTTTGAGATCAAATGCCTTCTTTGTGCTTGTGGGTTCTGCAGAGTTAGCTGCAAACTTGAAGGGAGTGATAACTACAAAAGGAATTGAGATATGACACAATTACAATAGCAAGGACATCCCCGTACACAGCAAGTTGGAAGGTGCCTGTGAAGACCAGCACGCTACTATCAAGACTAAAGAGCCATTAAATGCTACTGTCTGCTACCGCTAAAGAGAGAATTGCACAAATACAGCACACTTGAAATAGGGAGCTTTCAGGTCTGGAGAGAGCAAGAGTTGTAGAGAATTAGCCCTTTTGCTCTGATTATGCTACATAATAGCAGGTATAGCTCCATGTATTTTTCTAATCCTGCAAAGCAAATTATGTTTCGTAGTTTCTGGGCTTATTTGGAACCAAGTGGATTTTCACATTAAGAAAAAAAGCAGCATTATCCCAGAACACACCAGCTCTGATCAGCAGTGGAACTTTTTTTCCCCCTAAAAGAAAAAAAATCCGTATTTTCATACAAGGCAGGCAACTCTGGGTCCTTGACCTGTGCTAATGTACCCGTGGATGCTAGGGTATCAGCTGTTGGATAGCTGTGCTCATGCAGAGGTTTAGTAATCAGAAGACTTCTGCTCTTTTAGTTCCTGGGTTAACCAGGGTTGCTGAGGCAGATAATAAACAGGTTGGCCTAAAACACAGCTAAAAGCCTGGTGCATGCCAACCCCACAAGGAGAATGAAACCTCTGAGAAGGCATCAATCAGGAACTGCTCTCCCTGTAGACAGGATCTCCCCGTACTTGTTATGCGAGTCTTTTGCTACGTAGTCCCTTAAAGGTCTAGAATGATTTCTATACCCTACATCCTGTATTGGGCTTTTCTCTAGGTAGCTAGGTACCACATGTTTAAAGTCTTACCACATAACCATTTTAGTCAAAACACTGGAAACCAAAAGAAACAAAGGAACTACTGCAGTTTCTAAAGAATCAGTCAAATTAAAACCTGCGTCTACATGACATTAGAATATAAAAGCGTATAGAATAATTCAATAAGACAAAAAAGTCTTGATCTGAAACAGCCAAATATTTAGCATCCACTTTACCCCTTGATGCAGTCGTATCATTATTTTTTGCATTTCTTTTGCTGTTCTTCTGACTTATTATTTTGCTGCTCTTCTGTCTCTCACGTGTGCAGATCTCAAAGTATGGAGACAATCTAGATGGAGTTTTGGTAAGAGAGCGTTTATGCTCATTCTCTTTTGTGGCTTCTGACAACCTAAAAATTATTAGAAACATGAAGACAAAATTAGTCATCTACAAGGAATATAAGCAATGTGGCTGAATACAGAGGGTTCTGTGTTCTACCTTTCTCACAAGTAGAACATTTTACTGTGTATCGTATGGTCACAGCTTATGCATGTGCTGCACTAAAAACACCTTTGCTGGCAGTTTTCAAGTTATAAGCCATCATCAATAGCAGTAAGCAATATAAGGAATTAGAAAGAACTGGCTTGCTTGTTGTTTTGGAGAGCAAATATATTTATGTGTGCAATAACCTAGTAGCTTTCTTCACCAACAGATATGACTTACTTTAGATTTGGATTCTGTAGTAAGACATTATGAACAAAAATGTTGCTGATTTGAAAATTGAAATTAATAAAAACTAAAAGAAAAATAACTAGCACAATTCTAGAACTCAAAAATCTACAAGTGGAAGAAGCCAGAAATTTTATTCAAAACACAGAAGTTACCTGCGTACCAAGGCACACACACATGCACTATGTATGTGTGTATACACATTTTTAATGTGTGTATGTATACATATATATATACACACACACATACATACACACACACATATATACATATAAACATACAAAAGAAAATTCAAAAATCTTGAATGAAGTAATAGCCTTATCAAAAAGCTACCAAGAATAAGCTGAAAACCTTTAAGGTATGGAAAGACAGTAAGTAACTGTTGAAGAAAGCTGTGTTTTGAGGGCTAGTAAGTTTACAGATGAAGTGCAGCTTGCAAGATCCACATCAGCACATCTTTGGACAAATGAAAGCAAATTCTAAAAGTGTTATTTTTTGTTTACAAATTGCTAAGAATCAAGCAGGGCTGCAGTGGAGACAAAGATCATCCAACCAGAGGCAGAATGAATATTGTTTTCATTTGTTGTTATCTGTTGAAATTAAAGATAGCACGCTTGAAATAGGAACAAAGCCAGTAAGATCATAAGCTTGATTTTACAAGGGATCTGTAATCTTGACCTTTGAATAGCAGAACTGCATGCAAAAACTACCAGTCGTCTCATTATTTCTTAGTACTTGTCAATATTAGAAGTCACACGGACTTAATAATTGCAACTATACTTAACACACACACAGACACACCCCCACCCCCACACCCACACCCCTCCACCTTTCTTCAGGGACAGAAAAGTCCTGGCAGGTATACTAACCTTGGCATGCCAAAGTTGAGAAGTGAATGTTACCAGAAAAAATAGAAAGAAATTAACACAACTGTGACCCAAGAGTAACCAGCAGGGAAAAAAGCATAAGGGTAATATATAGAATGTCTAAATTTGAACTTTGGTCACTGTGGAAAGTTCAGTAAACTGAATAAAGTTGGAATTAGTACAATAGTTAGAAACCAACAAAGAAAGAGTAGAGACAAGAACTTTCACTGAAAAGAAAACTGGGCAAAAGGGCATTTGTCAATGCAGTACCGTACAGGCTGTCCTTTTGACTCCTTGTTCTAAAAGGTGTTTGTCCAAGACTTAAAAATTAGTAATAAGCTAATAAAATTTACCAATAAAAAAGTTCAGGATATATTAACATAAGAGAGAATTAGATTACTGTGTAGGAATAATGAAGTGAACGTGGTATTTTAAAAGGAAATGAGATTGGATTTAACAACATTTGAGTATGAGCCCATTCATTTAGCAATTTGTCACGACTTTCTGATGTCACCTTGGTTCCTTTAATCTAGAAACAATCTGCTTTAGTAGTCAATCACAAGATGAGACCCTGCTGTGACATGGAAGGGAGGAGTGCAGGAGGGGAAGGAAAAGAGTACCCAAAAAACCCCAAAAGATGAGTACATCGCAAGTTTCACATGGAATACTGCATGTGGTTCTGGTTAAGTTATCCCAGATATAAATTAACTCAGATATAACAGACTATTATGTTGCCTGACAAAAGGGAAAACCTGACACAGTAAGAGAAGAAAAGTCATTTGGCTTGGTTGGTTTAGCAACATGAGAGCTGAAAGAAAGGCAAGATTCCTCTGTCATCAGACATCAAAATGAAGAATCAAGATAGCAACACCACCGAAAGGCTTGAGCCAGCCATAAGCTAGACTGAAAGTTAGTAATCTGAATTAGTCTTCTGTGGCTGATGTTTGGAATAGAAATAGCGTAGTCACATCGCAGTCAGCATCAATTATCTCATGTGCATCGTACCAATTACCAAACTGGTAGTTTTGGTTTGCTCTTTTTACCTGGCATTCATTTTGGTTGTTGAAAGGACAGACGGATTAAATGAAGATTTCCCAGATAAAGCACTCCTTTTTGAAGCATTCAGAGAACTGCTTGGTGAGCGCTGGAGATTACTAGGAGTGCAGGTGCTGGAGAGTGTGCCTCTTCCTGGATTTGGGCTGAATAAAGATGTTTTGCCACTGGTTGGTTTCTAAGGAAAGGAAAATAAAGAGTTAGCACACTGCTAAAAATTTCAGAGAAGTAGTTAAGAGGAAAAGAAAATGTACAGTGAATCAGAAAAATACAGTCTCTTCCCCTATTTTTCCCCTTTAAAAGCATACTTTAAACATAAGTAGATTTATTATTATTACACTGTCCTGAAAACACATACCTTAGAATTGTTATTTGGAGTGCCTTTTTCTGATGCTCTTAACTGATCTGCCTTTTTGGTCAGAACCTGCCAAAAGTATTTGTCTTAAGTATGCACTGATACGCTGTACGCCATAGACAAGAGAAATGTAGCATTCAGGAGCTGCAGTGTTACTGATTTGATATGTCCACTGACATATTTATTCATAGACACATTACTGTACATTTTCTAAGGTCTGCCACACTCACAGTGGCCCTGTTAGCAGCTTTCACCCATGCAAGTGTGAAATACAAAACCTGAGAGCCGGGACCACTGAGAAAAACATACATTGCATGTATTTTAAAGGAGAGTCATAAGCAGCCATTGGGCAATGGTTCTTTGAGAGATAAAAGAAGAACTTAATATTTAATTCCCACTCTGAAAAATAACCCATCCTCTTCATGAAGTTCTGCAGCAATTCAAAGAGTTGTGAACAAAAGCTCCAGATGATCCTTTACAAAAGTAGTTGTGACAACTATTTTTACTCAAAACTGACAAGTTACTTATTGGTTCCTATAACTATTTGTAGCCATACACTGTTAATATCTATAGAAAAGCGTATATAACTATACAAGTTATATACAAATAACTGTATAGAACTAGTTATATAGGAATGCAGTAAATCTCACTGATCATAACGCTCCACTGTATGGACAACGTGATCAGCTGCTTGCTGCTCTAAAGACTCTACAAGACTTTTACAGAGAGACTCGGGAGATAAATGAATATAGGAACAATGGATACCTTCCCGTGTTATCACTTACCTTGACTTCACTAAGAGAATTGTTGCAGTTTTCAGTCATTTTCTTCTTCCTCTCGATGTAGTCATCAATAGATTCCATTTTCTTGAAGTAAGCCTCATGCAACTTTTTAAAGTCTAAGTAGTTCCAAAAATAGGAAGAATCACAAATGTGATAATGTCCTAAAGAAGTTTACTACTTAACAGAAGAATCTTGCAACACCTATAGTTATGGCTTCAGAAAAATACAACGTATTCCTCTAATTAAAGGCTGCGTTTACACAGGTAACCAAACAGTATGACAGGATCTGCTTCACCAGCTACATAGCCAGTCACCTGGTGCATGCTCTGGAGAATTAGAGGGACCTTTAGAGATCATCTAGTCCAAACCTCCAGTTCTGCAGTTAAAAAAAAAAAAAGGTTTTGAAGTAAAAAAAAAAAAAAGGGGGGGGGGGGCTCCCAAATTTTAAACAAATGAATGTATTTTATAAAGTGATGAAAATGAGCTCATATGTAGTAATACATCATAACAGTAGTGTTTATAAAGTGAAAACTAAAGAAGCAGGAGTAATAGCATGTCTTCCTGCTCTTTGTTGTTTTGAAAATCGTGAAGTAACTGCAAGTATTGTATCCAAAAGATAGCAAGGCGCTCAATAAACCAGTTTTCTAACATACGTGTGAGTCATTTACTACCATGAATTTACACATTAGAAGACAGACCTTAAAATGCAGCCTGTGGGGACTTTTTTTTTTGCTTGCTTTTTGAAGAAAGGGTGTTCTGTTCTTCAAGCAGAAATAGAAATCTGAGTTGTAAAAAACTTAAAGTCTAAGTCTCCCTTCACACACAGACAATAAATCTAGATGGTAGGTTATCTTACTTGGTGTAGTAACTTTCCCTCCTGTTGTCCCAGGCCTAGATGCATGGCCTACATATACAGGGATCTTTCCTTTTGCATGCTGAGCAGCACCTGGTACAGCAAGATTAGACAAAATTGTTAGAACTCCTAGAACTCCTTTTTAAAAGTATTTGTTCTAAAACACACCAGATCCCCTCAAAATGGGTTTAAGTTTTGAGAAATAAAAACATCAGCTGGAATAGACATCACAAGTCTCTCAGAAGCCTCTTAAATGGTATGGCAGTAACAGCATGACTTGACAAACTACAAGGCCAGCATGAATCTTACTGCCTCAATTTTTGTGCCACTTTTTAAAGGAGATAAGTAGCATCTCAGGGATATTCCAAAAGGCACAGATCCTAAATGAGTCGCAAGACTCAAACACACTCAGACTCTCAGGAACATCTTCACGAAAAACACCAGGTCCAGAATTCTGAAGTCAAAGCCAGCAGAATTTGTACACTGTAGAATTGGTGGAGTTGTGTTACAATTAGTTTAACAAAGAAGTACACAAACTCAAACAAGACAGATTTTTTTTTCTGGTAACCCCAAATAAGGTACTAATCACCAAACAGACCACCAAAAAAAAAAATCTTTGCCGCTACAATAAAATGAACAAAATGTGCATTTTAAATCATACACATTACTAAAATTACTTTAATTTTCCACTTACATTCATTTTTACTACTTTTAGTAGAAGTCTTCTCTGGTTGTTCTTTCTGATCAGCATCCATCCCTGGATTCTCAACAGCTCTTTTTTCAGTTTCTTGTTCATCATTATTTAATATCTTCTGTCTCTTTTCTTGCTTAGCTTGAGGCACTTTGTTTTCTTTCATTTCAGAATGCTCCTGCAGTTAAAACATACTTCATTTAAACAGTTTGTTCCAACTGGATATCAAGAAAGGCTGTTGCTTTGAGTAACAGTTAATCGGTGGAACAGGTTGACCAGAGAGGTTGTGTAGCCTCCATACTTACAGGTTTTCAGTATCAGATTGGATAAAGCCTTAAGCATTGTGGTCAAACCTCACAGTTGACCCTGCTTTGACTGGGAGGTTGAGCAAGAGACTTCAGGAAGTTCAACCTGAATTCACCTGTGAAGTACTTATCCTGTTATTTCACAAACAGATCTATATTAGAAAGATTTTTCCTGCACAGCTCTAACATTTTAGTATAAAACTGCCTTTATTGACAAAAGTTTATTACTTGCAAGTAAGGATAAATTCACTGGCTATGTAACTTTTTACTATTGTAGCTTTAGTTACTGTACAATTCTCTAACACTCATTTTCTCGTTTTCCTCCTCCAAATCAGTAAGCCTTTAACACAGTTCTTCATTCACTCCCTACTTGCATGTAATTCTAGAGAAAAGTTATTCTACCTCATCTCACTTTGAAACTTCCCCTCCTTCAGTCATGCAACCCATGAACAAAGAACCCACAGAGAAGAGCAGGAATTAAAAATTTGTGAGGTTTAGGCAATCATCAAAATTCTGTTAATCTTTTCTATATGAAGATAGCAAAACCAGCATTACTTCAGATAAATTCTGAAACTAGACTAACATTCACAATGCTATGATAATCTAGTGAAAGCAGTCTTGTGTTCAGATAATGTTTGGAATTGTTTAACTCTTAGAGGAATTTAATGTATTTCCTTGAAGTAACAACTAACAAGTAATCACTGTTTATTATAGAATAGCACATACTTGAGATAGATAAAAATCAGTGCTATGGACTGCAGAAGACCAGTACCAGAATGTTTGCAGATTAAATTCTTATATACGCACACACATACATATGTAGGTGTAAAAATGTACACCACCTGCTAAATAGCAGTAGAAAAAAATCAAATGTGTTTAAGTTATGCTTAGGGGAAGTGAAGTTATGCCAGCACGCAAAAGCACACAAGCAATGCAAATCACCTGTTTCTCATCAGAAAGCTCTGTATTTTCTTCACTGGTAATTTCCTCATTGAAGCTCCTCCTTTTTCTGTTTTTCTTTCCTTTACCATGTCTTTTTGTAATAAAAGATGTCGAAGCAGGCATGATTTCCTCCTGATTGCTCAGTTCATCCAATTGAATGGAAGCAGATGCACTTTTTTCAGAGTCCTGTAGCAGAAAAATACTATAATGTGGAACATATCTGACACAAACATAAATTAGGTACTCCAAAGAGACACTTTTAATTTTATTATTGGAAAAAGTATTTCACACATTTAGTAGCACAGTCATCAAAAAATTGGCAATATCTAAATTTCCCTAAACATCAAAGCTCATTGTTTGAATAAAAGAAAAAGATTTTTTTAAAAAAGAAACCCTACAGTTGTTCTGTTGCATAGCATTTTAATAAGACTATTAAAGCCCTCATGCTTTATGTTTGATATCTGATCTGCACGACACTGCGACCCTCCCAGATTTAGATGCTGCTGTGGAATACTCTCCACAGTTGTGTCATTTTCATTGTAGTGTCAGCATAATGAAATTGCAGTAAGTGCACAGTGTTTTCCGATGAGTATCTAGTCCCTTTCATCTAGGCATGCAAAATAAACAGAGTATTCTTATATTTGGTACTGACTAATGTCAGGAGCTAAACAGGCAAGAATTCAGATCTGTTCAACACAAGTTAAATTAAATGCTAGTGTTTACAGAAAATAATTTTGTACTGATGCTGAAAAATACATCATTAATTTCAGCAGCTGAAAGGAAGTCAGCTTCAGGTCATACAGGAGGCCACAAAGGTAATATTGGCACATACGTTTCTATCAGTACGTGAGTGCATTAAATTAAAGGCGTTATTAAAAAAAATATAGTTTATTACAGTTCACATCATAGTAAAAACCAACCTCCACTGTATGCCCTACTCTACTAGTTATGAAATTAGATCTGTCTCTCAAAAAGAATGACTGATTCATCATATATTACCATATTTTCGTTTCCTTCTTTTGTTCTGTTCAAGTATTGTTTCAGAGCTTTCAACAATTTGTCTGCCTGGAGAGAAATAAAAACAACAAATGAACCAAATCTTGCATTGAGTCATCAAACAAAAACCTGGGTAAACCCCAATAGCGTCCTATAAATTGATCCAACAAACAGAGCATTTCCCGAATCCAATGGAACAAGGCACGCCTAGTGCTTCATTCAAGTCAGACAAATTAGGGAAAGGGCTTAAGACCACAGAGAAACATGTAGCTTGTTCTCTACAGAGGCACAAAGACAAGTTTTTCTGAGCAGGTTTCTTCCAGTCTGTCTGTTTTCCAGAAAGTTTAATTGTTCAAGGATGAATGAGACTGACTGTTTTTAGCAGCACCACCCAGCTGAGCATGAGCTAAAATTTTATCAAATTTTTGCAATAACTTCTGTCTTGCCCATACTACATGAAAAGCATTCTTCTCATCCCTTGCACGTATTCAACAGTAATAGCAATCAAATAACAGCATTACATCACTGACCTTTTAGGCTATGAAAGGCTCCTAAATACTTAACTGGAAAGGGTAGCATAAAATTAAATCCGGATTGAAAGTTTAAGAACAAATTAACCTAGAACTAAAACCTCAAGCAGAAGTATTAGTCCTGTCAGGACAATGAGCTCCTGATTGTCACTTAAGTCATGAATCCTCTTTCTTTTAAGGCTTTATGCCTTCTCCCACAGGTAGTGCAGCTGCCTGACTGCCACTGAGCCTTTTAACGGCCACAGCCTGGAGCGCGGCAGGTAACG